CAACTAAGCCGGAGTATTTGAAACTAAAAATTTTAAATCAATGTATCAAGAAAGAAAGAATGCACCCATTGACTGCTAAATGAACTTTATTCTCATGAAAACATACAGATATATCACAAATAGCTAACCTATAATCAGTGAATGGCATCCTTATTCATGGATTTTGTAATTTCTGGACGACAGACGCCTCGCCATGGCATAGGCTCATCGGGCCTTAAGGCCGGATGAGCCAAAAATTGCATTTATTGTTATTGCTTTGATGTGTCTAATTACTGACAGCAATTATTCCAATTTAGTCCTCCATAGTATTTTTTCAAATTTTATGACCCCCCCCCCCTCACATGACAAAAGTGGGAGCCAAGCCAAAAATGAGGTACCGTGCGGGATCGCATAGGCTAATTACGTATCTTAAGCAGTGAGATCTGATTGGGCGCGCCTCGAAACAAGGCGCCCAGTCAGCTTGGACGAACCAAATTATAAAACAAAATTCCACTTCCTGTTTTTGTCGCTATGAAGACATCCTTCCCACACAAAACTGCGTCGATTACCTGTACCTGATGAGGCTCAAGGGCACCAACACCAAAAACTTTCGCAATTGTATCATCCCAAATATCACGATTCATGGGCACCGCCATTTTGTTTAAAATGAAACGCTAAAGAGGGTTTTGTAACGCGCTGACTGATTAGACAATGATTAGCCGCAACTGACTACTGGGGGCGCTGTTAGAATACGCATATTTGATGGTCGTTCTGCCAAGGTCTGTTTAGAGGCTTGGCCAAATAAACTTAGACCTTGGCCAGCGAAGATGCTCGTATTGCCAATAAATACATCTTTGGAAGTTGAATATGTCGTACCATAAATAGTATACTTACGAAAGTATCTGTAGAGGTTCATAACTTTCCGCTTTGTCAAAATCTAATGTATGGGGCTGATTTATAAACAATTTGACATTCTTTGGTGCTTTGTCCATTTCATCAGGATTACCGTGTATTTTGATTGAATGTAACTTTACAGGTTGGTTGAATGCCAAGTGTAAGATTAACTGAAAGTAAAACAGAAATACAGTGTTACATCAGTAAATGAAGTTAAACAATTTTCTTTAAAACACAGCTGGAAAGTTGGTACTGTAAAATACTTTATTTTACATGGAATTAATTTTTGCTAAAAAGACATTTAGGCCGTATAAGATGAATATAAAGTGTAAATCCAAGAGAAAGTAAACAACTTTACAGTAGTATGTTTAATATTTGGAAGTCCTCAATTCATGGAAATTCTGTGGGGCAATGATGAATATACCGATTACTGGTAGCAGGGGTTTTTCTAGAAAAAAACTGCAAGAGGGAGCACTGTAATTCAGCGCCGCCCTCAAATGGTTTTTGATAATTCTAAGTTGAAATGGAGCATTCTATGGCTTCCTTAAGGCCAAAATTACTATCAGACAGGTCACAGTTGATCCCTGGTCAGTCAGAATTTTATGGTTGCCAGAGGATCTGCTCCCCAGGGTAAGGGGGGCATGGCCATGGCATGAGGGCGCTGCGCCCCTGTTCCCTTGTTTAAAAAAAATCCCTGCTGGTAGCATAGTGGTTGTTGATTGATAGACCCACCCCGCCTCTTAGGCTG